ACGTTTTACACCTCACTGATACGGAAAAACATAATTTTGCAATCTTGTCCGTATGTCTGTGTGTCTGTCTGTCTGTGTGTGTGTGTGTGTGTGTCTGTCTGTCTGTCTGTCCGTGTGTAAACACGATTACTTGAGTACCGTTACAGCTAGGTTGATGAAATTTCATATATAAGTATTTTATCAAAATCGTAGATCTGTATCAACTTTTGAGCGATCTCCGATACCCGGAAGTGGTTCTTTTCCTACTTGGATTTTTTCAAAAGCCTATAACTTGAGTACTATTTTAGATAGATAAATAAAATTTCACATGTAAGTAAAAGATACAATTCTCTAACTTCTGTTAAATTTTGAGTAATTTCCGTTGACCGATTTCTCAATAAACTAATGTAAATTTTTAAAGCACTAATAATATTGCGCACTATTAAGCACTTTTTTATTTGGCGTTCACTTGGTATGCAATTCTTTTGTCTACGAGATTTTATTCTATTTTTAATACTTTAAGTATTTAAAATGGATTAAAAATCATGTCTATATCCCGAGTTCCCATCCCCTGTTATATTATACGAGCCGACCCGCAGCGTATCATACGCCGCTATTTAGTTGTTTTATTTTCCACTTTTCAGTAAATCATAATTTGTGAATTCGACAGTACCAATGCTGCCACTGAAAATATTTGCTTTGAAACACTACCTCCCCCTTTCCCCTAACCCCGACCCTACACCCCCCCCCCCCCCCCCCGTGAAAGCAGCCTCCTCTTAGTTATTTTTTAGTTACTTCCTGTAAGTTTAAAATCGAACTAAATTATATGCACCTAATAGAAACCCGGCTCTACGGCTCTACGATTTGTAAACATTTAGCTTTGTAAAAAATTTAGTGAACACCGCTCACCAGACAATGTTGGGGTGGGGTGGGGGTGGTAGTGATAGTGATAGAGAGAAAAAGAGGGGACTGCAAGGAGGAGCTTGCAGCTTGTTTTCTAACGGCTCCCTGAATAGAATTATTTATATAGATAAGAATATTCGAGAAAGTTTAGGGGAGATCACTCCCGGTTTATTATGAATTTTTTTTTTCAGTACTCTACATGTTTTATTTACAAAAGTGTTAAAAAGTAAAGTTTCCATTTCAAACCTGACGGTCTATGGGGCAAGTGAAGTAGAGTTCACTTGTTTCTGTGACCTCGGCATATGAAGAGATAGTGTGGTCAGCACTATGCCCAGCCGCTTTTACTTTCCCTAACGTGAGTTAGGTAACCATCAGAGTTGGGTGGACTCAGGGACGGTCTACTAACTTGAACCAGGATTCGAACCCGAGATTTACAAGCTAGCAGTCCAGCTCTCTACCGCTAGACCACTCCGTCCCACTACAATAGTGTTACATGACTAAAAACCATTGCGCGCCTACTGAACGTGATGGCGCAGCTATTGAACCTGATGGCGCAGCTATTGAACATGATGAAGAGTGTGGTGTGGTTGGATAGACATGCCTACTAATTCGGTCCAAATATTAATTAATTCATTAAAAATTAATTAGGCATCCAAGTAAGTCAAATTTAGTTTCAGATTGCATTGTCTTCATGTCTTGACCCACGTGCCAACTGTGAATCGTATCGGTCAAGTAGAAGTGTCCAAATTTTTGCTCCGGCGTTTCGATCTAGACAGACGGACGACAGACAGAGGAAGTGAGTTAAATAAAAGCTTGTAAAAAAAAACATAAAAAACGTTTTAATACCAAGCTTTTATGTAATAATGCACTAAAAAGTAGAAAATAAATTATAGACTACTATTTAAATAACTAAAAATAAAAGCGTGGGTCACTTTAGTACCTATTGGATACCTTCACTAATATTTGAGAAGAAACCCACGCTTTTCTTTATAGTAATTTAAATAGTAGTCTATAATTTATTTTCTACTTTTTAGTGCATTATTACATAAAAGCTTGGTATTAAATTGGTTTTTTTATGATTTTTTTTCCAGTACTTTGCATGTTTTATTTACAATAGAGTTACATGACTAAAAACCTTTGCGCGCCTATTGAACGTGATGGCGCAGCCATTGAACGTGATGACGCATCCAATTAAGTCGAATTTAATTTCAGATTGCATTGTCTTCATGTCTTGACTGACCCACGTGCCAACTGTAAATCGTATCGGTCAAGTAGAAGTGTACGAATTTTTCACTCCTGCGTTTCGATCTAGACTGACGACTGACAACAGACAGAGGAAGTGATTTAAACAAAAGCTTGTAAAAACATACCAAGACAAAGACTAGGGGCAGACGGCATTATCGGACAGTGAGATTAAGATTATAGTCTCATTACTATAATCGAAAGACGCTGACAGGAAAAAATAAATAATAATAATAAATTGAACGTTTTAGCAGGCCGGTACTAAATATAACGACTGTTGACAGAACCATTGTAGAGGGACACATGACCCACTTTCCCCTAAACCAAAAGGATACACTTCGATCTCTCTATTTTAATTTTAGTAATCCCCCCCCCTTGATTTTAAAATATTATTAAAGAATGCAGATCACAAGCCGAATGGGTCAGCACATCACTACACACACCGTACGTTCCAAACACGACACGGACAATGATTGAATCGCTCAACGCCTTGACAACGGAAATTTGTAAACATGTCAATAAAAAAGACGTCCAATGTAATACGCTTGAAAAGCTACATGTTTGTTGCTAGAAAGCATATTTTTCAACCAAAATTGAAAATTTAAAACATTTGTGAAATAAGTACAAATTGACTTTCGGTTTAATTAAATAAAAAATAATCAAACTAATAATTACTAGCAATATAATAGTAATTTGGCAAACACTTTTATTTTTTATTTGGATTAGCAAAGTTAGGGTGTTGTGGTGATAGAGGATGTTATTTTATTTAATTATAATACAATACTAGGATAAACACTACTGACCACGATTGTGTATTTTATCATGGAAAACAGTTGTTGTGAGTTTCATTATTTTACTCTGTCTCTCTTTAGTCACTCCGGTTGACTTCAAAGAACGGGTTGGGGTGGTTTTTTTTAAAATATTTGAATTGATGAAATAATTAAAACATTATTTTCAACGGCTTCTATTCAATACAAAAATATGAAAATGAGTGTAATCGATAGTTCTCAAAGAGCTTTAAGTTTTTAAAATGTAACTATAATTTTATCACTTGTCATATTTTAAAAAGATTTTTAAAAAGGTTAGTATAATTATCTAGCCTTTCCATGCCCATTCTTCTTCTTCTTCTACGTTTTTAATTTTAGTGCTGGAAGGGATCCCCTCCAACAGAATTTAGAATACATATCAACTAGTTATCATTGACTCCGATTTCAGCTTGCTTTTCTTTTTGGATTTGCTTCCATAGCCTTTGTACAACCAAGAACAAACTACAAGGCAGCAGTTATTTTTTTTTTGGAGTTGTCTCTCCTAGAAGAGTTCCTGTCCACAGCTAACCAGTCTCATCCATCCGAGGGTTCGAACTCGAGACTTTTCGGTTTAGCAACCATGAGCTTTAACGACTCGATCACGCCGACCCCTTCAAGCCTATTGAAAACCTACTGCTATGCCCTCCCCTTTACCCCAAACTTTTTCTCACCCCCACATTAAACCTAAGACAGCACAGTGGGGCGACGAATCTACACACCAGAACTAATGCTGGGCAATGACAATTAGGGGACAAAGCCCTACGGACCTGAAAAGTTATCAGCACCAGCCTCAGAAACCATGGACAAAAGAGCGACAATGACAAACTTGCACTATTAGAATACACAAGACACGACAAAAGAGACAAGGGAAGAAAATACATTTTGAGCGGGGCGTGCAGGTAAAAGTATATTTTGTCTATATAAATTGTTTTTTGTTCCGGTGGGGGGGGGGTTATGTTCTTCGGCTGAAAAAAGATTTATGAAATAAACCAATTTAAGATTACACAAATAAATTAGGCGGTAATGCCGGTGTTTTTATTATAGAGTATCAATGACGTCAGTACTATTGTGTATTTATTTCGGGCAATTGCATTTTAATTCGTTGTTTACTCGAGAATCAATGACGTCATATTATTATGTGTACTTTCTCGGATTTAGACTATTTCCTACTATATGTTTCATGTGACGTCACGTTTTGTTTTCCGTATTACTATGCATGTTTTATCTTTCCTTGTGTTTTCTCTATAGTAAGAGCGTTTCCAACAGATACACAGACAGCAAAACCATTATTATAGGACGAAAAAAATGGCCCGCTAAGGGATAGATGAAGCGAGAGCTAGGTTGATAGGTTGTCTTTTTCTCAACCAAGCGCCCGTTGTATATCTCCGTTAACGGGCCATTTATTTCGTAGATATAGTTTAATGTACAGCTGATGTCAATTGAAAGAGATTAAATTTTAATGAAATACAAACAAAAAAACACATAGAAATTGTATAATTTTTTGTCTATTTTTTTTGTTAAATATGTTTATGCATTTATGTGTATTCTTTACATAATATAGTTCTCTGCAATGGTATAATACTCTAGTATGAATTGAAAACATCTAGCATTCAAATATATAGTTCTTTATTTAAAGCATAAAATTTTTTATAACTATTGATTAAGAACTATCGGAACAGACCTAGTTTTTCTTAACAATCTAATGAAAATTTTTAAAAAAAAGCTCCTCTAGTCAGGATACACTGTTTATCCCTTTAAATTCTGTATAACCACATACGTGAAATCATGTAAATATTTACTATGCACACTTCTCAAATCATTTGGTTTAATTTAAAGTTTAAAATGAAATAAGGTATATTGCTGTTGCTGTGCTTGTTTTAATTTGTAAAATAAAATATTTTAGTTTTGTTTAAAAAAAAAGAAACACAGAATAAAAAAAATACGATGCAGTATTCATTCGAGCTTTGATATATATATATATATATATATATATATATATATATATATATATATATATATATATATATATATATATATATATATATATATATATATATATAAAAGACTTACTTCTTTATAGGTTTGTACATTTTTTCCAAAATTTTGCCGTTTAATATTTTTGTTGTTACAAGAAACCGTACAACAGTGCCATCTTCATTTGTTATCTTGTCGGAAAATTTCTGTTCCTAAACACAAAATATATAATGATATTATCAGTGGTGTAGTGGGGTGTCACCCGGTGCGGCACTTAATGGTGTCAACCCCCCCCCCCCAACCGTAATTTTTTAAATTGATATTTATTACGCAGGTGTATATGTATTCATATATATTTTTTGTATTTAATTTTTTTTACCTCACCCCGCCCCCTTCCTACATGGATCAACATATAAGTTATTACGATTCTCAACCAAATCGTTTACCTCAAGCATATTCTGCAACGTTGAGTTATTGTAACTTACCACTCACCCCCCCCCCTACCCCCACTCAAACCCAAGGCGATTGCTTTAAACTGTGCTCGGATATAATACTAACAATCGTAATCTATGGAAGGTTATAAATACAGCTTGCTGTAGCATGTTTTCTCTATTATTATTATTCCCTTGTCGGGAATTGTCGAATTTGCTTTAAAAAGACTATTTAACACTATTTATCATTTTCTATACATATTTTGCTCTTTTTTGCCTGTGGTCACATCCCTAAAGGGTTTCACACGGAGCGGTCCGCATCCCCCGCTCACCTCGCTACGCAATTGCATATTATCAATATATATATATATATATATATATATAATATATATATATATATATATATATATATATATATATATATATATATATATATATATATATATATTTATATATATATATATATATATATATATATATATATATATATATATATATATATATATATATATATATATATATATATATATATATATATATATATATATATACTAGGCATACTGCCTAGCTTCGCTTAGGTTTTCAAAAAAAAAAGAAATTGAATGATTAATTAATAGGTGATTGTCTGTTATGTTTAACTAGGCATGCTGCCCAGCTTCGCTTAGGCTTTCAAAAACATTGAGAATTCGAATGCTTAATTAATTCGCCCGAGGGTCGGTCTACGACCTCAGGAGTTATAAAGAGCTTCCTACGTGGACACGTTTTTTTCGATTTATAGCTTATATAAGGCGCCGGTCAGTCGAGGTCTGTTTTGACCCCCTCATCGTAGACCTTTAGGCCAACCGGCACCGGCCCCCGTGTTCAGTCGCCCCAAGGCAAAATCTTGCCAAATTTGAAGCGTCTGCGGCGCCGGGAAGTGCCCGATGTCGGGCACCCGACAACTTTTCTTCATATATTATAGAGATTAGTAAATTGCATAGATAAACAAAGATTTCCAAAGCAGTTCCTTTCTTTATAGTCTAAAATAGGAAGTCACATATAAAAAAAAAAAAATTAGGTTTGACTTGGTGTGTCTTGATCCAGCACCACCTGTCTGGTATCACTATCAAATACACTATCATTTCAGCTAATTAGGTACCTTTTAAAAAATGGAGAATAAAAGAAGTGTTTAAAATTCAAATTTCAAATTATTTTTTTACCCAAAATTTGCCAGTTTCATTGCTAAACAAACAAAGATTTCTATAAAACATTTAAGTCCTGAAAAAGTTTATTATAGAAATTTATTTTTGGAATAGATTCTACAGTAGATAGAGTCTAAATCTAGATCTAGAATAGATCTTAGCGACCTAGCGTCTACGTCAAGTTTTTGCTTAGATTTAGATCTAGTCTAGATCTAGAATCCAAATAGATAAAATAATTTTTTAAAGTTTAAGGCCGAGAATATCGTATTGTGTAGTCTACATTTCATAGCGTACATAGCTCTAAATCATATTTGAATGAAATAGTTCATTTTTTTAAATTCTAAACTCGGAAGATGACGTCATCAGTTGTGTGCTCTTTTTTTATTTAGTGTAAACAATAAGCGACGTCATTGTTAAATGCGTTCTTGTCCTAGTTTATACACTTTTCCGGTTGTATAAATAATACTGTTTCTCTACATTCGAATACGCCTTTATTTTTTATTTTTCTTCTTTAATTAAAATTGTGGTTATACATTTAAAACATCTAACATATTATTTTCAACAAAAGTCCGTATAAAGGTATCCATATATCGCTGCCGATTCTGACCTGATGTCCGGCGAAAATATTTTGCGGACAGAGAGAGAGAGAGAGAGAGAGAGAGAGAGAGAAGAGCGCATATGGCGTTTTATATATTAGGATAGGATGCTTAGGGTCTAAATTTATATACAGTGGAACAATTGTAAGTTACCGAAATATTGATGGAATATTCGCAAACTTATTAATAGCAAAGTTATTAGAACTGCAAGGGCTTTCTTAATAGTATTAATCAAATATTATATTAAATTACTTTCGCAGATAATTTTTACAATTTTAGTACAATGCAAAACTTAATTTATAACAAAATATATATTTAAACAATGCTATACTTTATGATTTTTGTTTTTTTCTTAAAAAGAGATTACGAAATATTTAAAAAATATTACATTAAAAAGTTACCTCCCCTATTAATAGACCCAAATGACCAAATCTCGTATAATGAGGATTTCACTCGCATTTATTTTTCGCCCTCTTGGAGGGCTTTAAGTGTGACTAACAGTTTTTCCATACGGCGTAGTCATCTTTAGAGGTGTATACAAAACAAATTAGCCAGATGTAAAGACGGTAAGTGCCCTAAAATTCGTTTTGAAATCACCCTCTGTTTTTCCCATAAAATACAAAGATTATATAGGAAAATACGACTGGTCAGTTTTGACCCATTTGACGAATTTTCCCGGACATGGCGAGTTTTTTGTGACACCCCGAGGCGTTCTCCTACCACCTCACAAAATTTCAAGGGGCGTCGTCGGAGGAATTTTTTTTTCGTAATATAGCCCAAATAAGGCGCCGGTCAGTCGAGGTCAGTTTTGACCCCCTCCTCGTAGACTTTTCAGCCAACCGTCAACGGCCCTCGTGTTCTATCGCCCCAAGGCACCATCGTGCCAAATTTGACGCGCCTGCGGCGCCGGGAAGTGCCCTGTCGGGCACCTGACCACTTTGCTTTATATATATAGACTAGGCATACTGCCTAGCTTCGCTTAGGTTTCCAAAAAAATGAGAAATTGAATGATTAATTAGTAGGTGATTGGCTGCTTTGTTGAATGCTTAGGGCCTAAATTTATACAGTGGAGTCATTGCGTGCCATCAAATTATTGATTGAATATTCGCAAACTTATTACTCGCGCGGTTATTAGAACTGCAAGGGGTTTCTTAATGGTATCAATGTAATATTATAATAAATTACTTTCGCAATAATTTTTACAATATCAGTACAATGCAAAACTTAATTTGTAACAAAATATTTATTTAAAACAATGCTATACTTTATGATTTTAGTTTTTTTTTTCTTAAAAAGAGATTACAAAATATTTAAAAAATATTACATTAAAAAGCTACCTCCCCTGTTAATAGACCAAATGACCAAATCTCGTATAATGAGGATTTCACTCGCGTTTATTTTTCGCCCTCTTGGAGGGCTTTTAAAATCACCCTCTGTTTTCCCCATAAAATACAAAGATTATATAGGGAAATACGACTTGTCAGGTTTGACCCATTTAACGAATTTTCCCGGACATGGTGAGTTTTTTGTGACACCCTAAGGCGTTCTCCTACCACCTCACAAAATTTCAAGGGGGGTCGTCTAAGGAAAATTTTTTTCGTAATATAGCCCATATAGGGCGCCGGTCAGTCGAGGTCAGTTTTGACCCCTTCTCCGTGAACTTTTCGACCAACCGTCAAAGTCGCTCGTGTTCTATCGCCCCAAGGCACCATCGTGCCAAATTTGACGCGACTGCGGCGCCGGGAAGTGCCCTATCGGGCACCCGACCACTTTGCTTTATATATATATATATATGTATATAAATATATATATATATATATATATATATATATATATATATATATATATATATATATATATATATATATATATTTATTTATTTATTTATATATATATATATATATATATATATATATATATATATATATATATATATATATATATATATATATATATATATATATGACTAAAACCATTGCGCACCCAAAGAACGTGAGGACACGTTTATAACAGTGCGGAATAGTTAATTAAAAATTATAATTGTTAAACAGGGCGTATATTAAATCTATGCTAATTATAATATTCCAACAATATTGTCCTCTTTCAATAATGTCCTCTGCAGATTTACATTCACGTTTTGATAATTATATTATTCCAACTATAATTCCCTTTTGGAGATTTTGCATTCACATTTTTGTATTAGCGTGAGTTAAATTTATTTTTAAATTACCTCCCCTGGCAACATTTCAAAACAGTTTAATTATTTAATTAATTATTTAATTCAACCCTACTGTTATTTAAATGCGTCAACTTTTTCTAGGAATCAAAACAAAAATGATATTTGACCTTGATCCGTTTAATATGTATTAGCAATGTGCGTGTATTTAATATGTTCTTTACGTTATTCAAAAGAGTATAAATAGTGGCAACTATAAAATAAATTTAAGTCGTTATATAAAAAACCTTACTCTATTTCATATATTAAGACACTGCGATGCAAGTAAAAAGCAACTAAATGCGATGTGTTTACTTTTATAGTTCTAAAATCTACAGCGAGGACTGACACACTACCAGCCCACTTTTATATATATATATATATATATATATATATATATATATATATATATATATATATATATATATATATATATATATATATATATATATATATATATATATATATCCTTATGTATAAAAGACCATGTGCGCACTTCTCTCTCTCTCTCTCTCTCTCTTTCTCTCTCTCTCTGTTCGCAAAATGTTTTCGCAAGATATCACATTAGAATCATCAACGATATATGGAGAACTTAATACAGACTTTTGTTGAAAATAATATGGTAGATGTTTTAAATGTATGAACAAAATTTTATTTAAAGAAGAAAAATAAAAAATAAATGCATATTTGAATGTAGAAAAACAGTTTTAATTATGCAACAGGAATAATGTTTATAGTTACAAAAAGGAATGCACGAAACAATGACGTCACATGCCATATATACATATATACATATGTACATATATACATATATACATTTATTCATATGAACATATGTACATATATACATATATACATATATACATATATACATATATACGTATGTACATATATACTAGGCAAAAGACATATTGACATATTGACATATAAACATATAGACATATAGATATTTACACAAATACACATGTACACATAGTCACCTATACACATATATAAAATTACATATATACACATATGCACATACACATATACACATATAGACCCATAGACATACATATATAGACATATAGACATATATACATATACATATAGACATCTATATATATATATATATATATATATATATATATATATATATATATATATATATATAGAGGCCTATATATACATTACAAATGCATTACATGTACATTACATATACATCATTTTTTATGGTCGCCTGAAGGGCTAAGACCATTTATGTTTCAGGCGGTTTACTTGTTCCGACCAGTATAAATCAGTTAACTAAACAAATGTTTGATTTAGTGCAGCTACAGTTGTGTTAAATAGAGAGGTAGTTGTTTAAAATGTAAGTAAACAGTTACATCACAACAATATATATATATATATATATATATATATATATATATATATATATATATATATATATATATATATATATATATACATATTATGAATCGCTCTCTATGTTATATTTCTGCGAAAAAGCTGATATCTTTTTTTATGTTATAATGTAATAAGCTAGTGTTTTAGTGTGTTCATGTTAAATTTATTTCGGTTACCGTTTGTTAATTAATGAACAAAGCGACTGACCGAGGAACCTCCAACTCTTGTATTTGTAATTGGGGTTCTTATTAGAGGCCGTCTTTGCAGATTCCTTGTCCCATTGGGGTAGATGAACATTCCTCCGTCGAAACTCCCGGCGAAGATTTGAAGATAGTTGGCATACGACTGGCCATCGACATTAGCTGCATTTGCTGCATGAAATATTAAAGTTATAAAGTAATTGTTTGAACAGTTTATTAAAGCTGTATCGATTTTATTAGGAAGAAAAATTTTATTACTTTAGCTTTCTAATATCATTTACTTTATTTAATTAATAATTTTGATTTAGACTCATTTATTTAAGGTTTAATATTAGCTTTAGCAACGGATAACGATGATAGGTTACATCTTAAGCTGTTGTCCAATAGATAACTTTATAAACTGTTTATGGTGCGCTGTTATTTTTTGGGTTGAAAGTATGCTTAGAGCTTTTGTTAAAAATATACTTATGTATCAAATTTTGTCCATCTAACTGAAACTGTACTCAGGTTAGCTTATTTTCAGATAAAAAGAATAAAGAATCACTTCCGAAAGTAACTCGAAAATTTTAAAAAGCTATTAAGGTAAAACTTTTTTTTTTGAAAGAAAATTACATATAGCATCTAATGATTAAGTTTCTTCTACGTAATTGAAAGGGTAATCGAGAAAAAAAAAGAAAGAAATAATAATTTTTAGATGTGGTAAAACTGACTTACACACAGCAGAAAAAGCATTACAAAGTGTTAAACAGATCAGGAATTTCTTCATCTTGATTTTCTAAATGTCAAAGACAAAAATTTCAAAATATATATATTTAGTGAGAGAAAAAATTTCAATACATCTATCTATCTATATACTACTAAAAGTCAAGTTTGTTTACATGTTTGAATATTTATTTGTTTTTTTGTTTGTTTCTTTGCCTGATTGACTATCTCGCATGGTTGCACTCATCGTGGAAAGCTGTAAAATAGTATGTAGGTAGAGAAAATTTTTTGTTTTAAGACAGACTGTTAATCACACATTTATTTAAAGACGTTAATTAATTTATTGATTTATTCATACGCAGAGTAACCCATTTTTTTTAAAAAGTTTAGAACGACCACTACACTCGGCGGGACCGTGACGTCACAGTTTTTTGTTTACTCTTTAGTACAATAAAATGGCGGCGTCTATCGAAGAAAATTGTGTTCCCATTCAAAAGTTTAACGCGTTCTAAATCTAATTTTCTGTCGGTCATAACTTTAACAATACGTCCGTTTGCTGTATTTATTACGTTCCAACACTTATATCAATTTTAAACTGTCTTTTTCATTTAGTTTTACGATAAATTTCTCTAGATCTACAATTTGCCCAAGAAAGTTATTTATATATTTAGATCTAGTATCTAGAATCTAGGTCAAATCAAAGATTTTTTAGTTATAAATACAATCAAAAAAAAAAAACGAGACTTAAGCAAACCAGTCGTAGATCTAGAATATAGATAATTCTGTCTAGATTTAGATAATAATGAGTTTCTATATACTAAAATATTTTAGACCTTTATTATTTTGTATAAATCTTTGTTTCGACTATGCAAATTTTGAAATGCTGGATGCGGGCCTATTTGCGTAGCTTAAGATTCATACGCGGCTTCGATGCCGGTAATTTTGCTAAATTATAAACGTAAATTCTAAATATAGCTCAGTCGTAGATCTAAAATATAGTTAATTTTCTATCTAGATTTAGATAATAATGATTTTCTATATACTAAACTATTTTAGACCTTTATTATTTTATATAAATCGTTGTTTAGAATACGGTAATTTTGAAATGCTAGCTCCGGGCCTATTAGCGTAGCTAATGATTAGATCTAGATCTAGATTCTAGATCTAGCAAGAAAAACTAAACTTAAGACTTAAGCAAGCGAGTCGTAGAATCTAGATCTAGATAATTCTATCTAGATCTAGATAATTTCAGACCTTCTTTATTTTATATAAATCTTTGTTTGGCTAATTTAAGATAAAATTCAATTTGAAAGTTACTGCTACTAGACTTAGTTCTAGATCTATGCGCGTAAATCAAGTTGCATAAGGAGACTCAAAGTATAGTATAAAAATTCACTTGTGACGTCACGAGTAAATAGCTAAGTTGGTAGTGTAGTCGGCTCTCATGCGGGTGTCACAGGTTCTTGACCAATATGTCAATGATATTTTTTTTTTCAATTTTTTTTTTAGATGTGAATGATAAAGTTGCCTATCTGAACTTGGCAGGATACAGGGCAGGTGAAGTAGAGTTCATCTGTTTCTTTGTCCTAAGCATATGAAAAGATAGTGTTGTCAGAGACATGCTCGGCTGCAATCGTTTTTTAAACGATAAAAACATGTTGTCTGAGACTTGGCGAGACACTGGGCAGGTGAAGTAGAGTTGAGTAGGTCACCTGTGACGTCAGTATATGAAGGGATAGTCCGAAATCGGTGTTTTCGGTGTTTTTAAAAGATAAAAAACATATTTTGGAATGTGGCGTCTGCTTTTTGTGACGATAAGTGACACTGTAGTAGCGTAGCGAGGAGAGGGGGGGGGAACATATGTCCCCAGGCGCCGACCTTAGGGGGTGCCAAAATGGGTTGGAAAAATAAATTGAAAGGTTGAGGGGGGTGCAAATCGAAAGTTTGATTGGGGGGGGGGGGTTCAAATCGAAATCTTGAGGGGGGTTGCACATCAAAAGTTTGGAGGGGGGTTGAAAATCGAAATCCTTTTGGGGGGGGGGTGGGGTTTCAAATCGAAAAGTTTGTCCCCGGGCGCCGGGAAGGTTTGCTATGCCTCTGAGTGACAGACGTGATGTTTTTTGATGGATGACCCCCGAAACCCACAGTTATCCAAGGGATGACGGGTAGTCTAGTAAAGTATAAGGCTAAGGGTGTATTCCAAACACGCACGAATTTAGGTTTTATCTTGACGCTAAAGTGCGCAAAAGTTCGCACCCTTTTACACCCAAATTTGGTGTTGTATTTACTTTAAAGTCAGTCATTTGATATTTGAATGATTTTCTTGCTGTAAAGAATGTTCTTATGGAAATTCTGGTTTTCTTTGTTATTATTTCAAGACCTTCTTGAAAAAGGCAAGTCAAGTTTGAATAACTATGACAATTTTCTTAAATAAGATTTGCAGGTTACTGGAAATAAGCCGTCCGGCTTAATTTACCTCCATCCATACTGCAAGACATTTTATTTAGATCTAGATCTAGTCACCTAGATCTAGATCTAGAATCTAAATCTTCGTTAACGATCCATTGTTTTGACATTATTAGAGTTAAGTTTTTGTCCTAAAGTGTTAATTTATTCTACCTAAAGATTTAGACTTATGATTATTGTTAAAATATAATGGTTGAGAATTTACTTTGTAAGTTGCTTTTTTTTTCATAGCTGCAGGATTATAATCGGTGGCAATGCTTTCACCCAATGAGTGTTGTCGTTACAAAACATCATCCGCAAACTTAACATTTACTCCCATTCATGCTTTCACTTGAACACTTTTATTTCCCGCCTTACTAACAGTTCTAACTTGTTTTTTTTTTAAATGAACTCAATGATTAATAAACCGGTAGTGATCTCCCCTAAACTTTCTCGAATATTCTTATATGAATAAACAGGGGTTGGCAACTCTATGTCTATGTCCTGAGTTGCCATCCCTCGTAGTTTTATTTTAGAATATTCGAGAAAGTTTAGGAGAGATCACTCCCGGTTTATAAAGATTTACAACATCGATGACAATATTTGGTTTTGACTATACAGTCTTTTTAATAGATTGCGTGTCGACTCAAGGTGTTCTAATAGATATTCTTACATTCTATTTAATGTATCCTAAATTCTACATATTGTTTTTGTTTCCTCGCCAGCATTGTTTGGATACTCCACTGCCGCGCCAACACCTATAACCACACCAATCCCATCCACAACCACACCCCAACCAACCACAACCACTACACCCACGTCCACCACAACAACACCCCAACCAACCACAACCACTACACCCACGCCCACCACCACAACCACGACACCCACCACGACACCCCAACCAACCACAACCACTACACCCACGCCCACCACCACAACCACGACACCCACCACAACCACCACGACACCCACCACAACCACAACCACCACGACGCCAAAGCCAACCACGACAACTACGCCAACGACCACAATTACGACAACCACAACTACAGCTGGTAAGAGATATTTTAGAATTAAGAACTACTTACATTAATTGAACTGATATATATATATATATATATATATATATATATATATATATATATATATATATATATATATATATATATATATATATATATATATATATATGCGTGTGTGTGTGTGTGTGTGTATCGCTCCCCTAGGACTAAACTGTTCAAATCCCACTTTTTAAAAAAAAATGTTCACAAGATTTTAAAGCTTTGTTTTCCTAAATATTTCCTTATAACTCACTTCGTGAAATAAACTATTTGTTTTATTATGGTTCGAGTTACGTCCAAATATTTCTTGACTTTATGCTTTGGTGGATTAAAACACATAAAATAAACCGGGAGTGATCTCCCCTAAACTTTCTCGAATATTCTTATTTAAAATAACAGGGGATGGGAACTCGGGCTATAGACATGATTTTTAATCCATTTTAAATACTTAAAGTTTAAAAAAAAAAATTCATAAAAAACGTTTTTTAACAAGCTTTTATGTAATGATGCACTAAAAAGTAGAAAATAAATTATACACTACTATTTAAATTACAATAAAGAAAAGCGTGGGTCACTTTAGTACTTTAGTACCTATTTGATACCTTTACTAATATTTGAGAAGAGACCCACGCTTTTCTTTATAGTAATTTAAATAGTAGTGTATAATTTATTTTCTACTTTTTAGTGTATCATTACATAAAAGCTTGTTATTAAAACGTTTTTATGAATTTTTTTTTCAGTGCTTTACATGTTTTATTTACAATAGTGTGACATGACTAAAAACCATTGCGCGTCTATTGAACGTGATGGCGCAGCTATTAAACCTGATGGCTGCAGCTATTGAACGTGATGACGCGTGTGGTGTAGTTGGATAGACATGCCTACTAATTGGGTCCAAGTAGAACTGTCCGAATTTTCACTCATACTTTTCGATCTAGAATGACGACAGACAGACTTTCGACTGACGACTGACGACAGAGGAAGTGAGTTAATAAAAGCTTGTAAAAATAGAATAAAATCTCGTAGACAAATTAATTGCACACCAAGTGAACGCCAAATAAAAAAGTGCATAATAGTGCGCAATATTATTAGTACTTTAAAAATTTACATTTGTTTTTTGAGAAACCGGAAGTAGCGTAAATTACTACTTCCGTTCAACGGAAATTACTCAAAATTTTGCAGAAGATAGTGAATTAGATCTGTTACTTACATGTGAAATTTCATTTATCTATCTGAAATAGTACTCAAGTTATAGGCTTTTGAAAAATTTAAAGTAGGAAAAGTACCACTTCCGTTTATCGGAAATCGCTCAAAAGTTGATACGGATCTACGATTTTGATAAAATACTTATATATGAAATTTCATCAACCTAGCTTTAACGGTACTCAAGTTATCGTGTTTACGCACGGACACACACACACACACACACAAACACACACAGACAGACACACACAGACATACGGACAAGATTGCAAAATTATGTTTTTCGGTATCAGTGAGGTGTAAAACGTCGAGATTTGTAAAAATGTCGATTTTTTTTTTTGCAATATTACAAGATTTTCTG